AAGGTGGTCTTAGTGAACTGAGAGCGTGACCGCAGTGCCCAAGGGACAACTGCTTGAGGTCGGTCACACACGACCTTGTTATGGGTAATTTTTGTGTTAGCTCCGTACTTATTGAGACCTTACCGCCGGAGACGGATATCCGTGGGATAAGGCGAGGTGTGCATTTTTAGGGTCGACCTTTTCTAACCCCACCCCTCCTTGTGGGAAGGCAGCATCGCTGTCATGCTGGTTGTCTGAAGGAAACACCTTACTGCTGTCACACCTCTGTACAGTCAGCAGTACGACTTCGCCTTCGGACCTTGGGTTTGTTGCTTTTAGTCTTACCGCTCTTCAACCGACCTGTCTGACATGGTAGGACCTTGAGGAACGGTTGTTCCAGCCAGTATAGCTCGGTTGCTTCATCACGATAGGCAAGCCCGACCACCACGTCAAGGTAGCAACAACGGTCGGGTGATGACTTACCACGCTAACATATTTTTCAGTAATACAAAGTAGCTTCAAGACAGTACGAAAGTTTATAACTAAATCCTGCATAGGTCAGTGATTTGAGGACTGGTATAGTAAGACTTATGGGGAATAGTATGCTTTTTTGAAACCCAGAAATTTCGTTATTTAGTTGGTGTAAACCTAAGGAATTAAAAAGCAGCCAGACAAACCTTTGAAATTGGTTACTGAAACCATTTCTTGTCATTTTAAATTCACCTTTAAAGCCACAGCTAATTTTAATTGCTTTGAGGAACGTGTAGAAACGATTTACCCGAAAGCTACAAGCAACATACAATCATCAAGAACCGCGCTCTTCGCTTACTAAGCAGCAAAAGTCACTATTTGGCAGAATACAAATGAGCTGGTGATAACGGTGCATACAGGCAAGTCAAACAAATAAGGAACATATGCACAAAGGCGATAGGAGAAGATGAACTTCAGTACTAGACAAAGCTTATTGATAAATTTGTCTCCAATTCGAAAGGCTTATTCCGTTATGCAGTCCCTCTTTGACAAACCACAACTGGAGTTTCCCAACTGCTAGTTCCTAATGGCCTAACCAACAACAACGGTGATGCCACTAATCCTCTGTCTGAACAGTACTCTCAAACATTTCAACCGACCCACACTAGCTATATTGATGAAAGCTTCATCTGCAACACCACAGGACTTTCAGAAGTGAATCTGAACGCTGATTTGGTGTACCGGGAACTGAAGCACCTAGTGAAGACACTTCTCTTGGTGTGGATATAACTAATTCTGCTATACTGAGGGAAGCAGCTTCAATCTAGGCCGCATCACATGGTGTGATGTCCTCGCATTCGCTAAACCGAGGCACATTATCGGAAATTTGTAAGCTGGCTCGCATCACATCAATTTTTATAGGAGGTCGACGCAGCGAACCTTCAAGCTACCGACCGGTAACAATACTCTCTAAACCTTCAAAAATTATGCAGTCCCCGATATACGCCGGTATACAAGAAAATTTGTTATCCACAAACTTCTTTCCACTCCAACAGCACGATCTCAGAAACCTTCACTCTTATATAACCAACTTGCTGACTGCGGGGGACAGATGGATGATAATGTCAAACGAATAGGTATTATTATTATTATTATTATTATTCACAAACATCTTATGGGTACATAAGTGTCGTGAAGGAACCATTTTGGGTTTCTTCAAAAATGCAATTATACACAAGTTTCAATAACGTTAGCATTATATTTGCCATATTTGATAAAAGAGAGTAATAATAATAGAATAATAATAATAATAAATCAGGTTCTGTGTAGTTGAGAAGAATATTGAATTGAGTTTAAAGAAGGAAGGGAAGAAGATAAGGGAATAGAAATAAAGAGGACGTGAAATACGCAAATAGCTTAATTGGCGTGTTTATGAACACAGAACAAGAGTAAATGACTATGTATGTATCGTCAAATTAGTAACAAAAATAAAATAAAAAATAATTAAGGGAAAACTTATTGTTGCAGTAAGATATGACGTTGGAATAAATGTGTGTGCAGTCATAGTTTGTAGTGATGCTATGAAAGTCTCAATTAAGTGATAAGGATAACGAAATATCAATATGTACGAGTCATATATGCGTTGTGAAAATAAAACGAGTCTGAGAATTTAATTTACGTGTAGCACAAGTTATCGTCTTAATTACAAACTTCGTAATCTGCGGAATAATATTTATTTAGAAGGAAAAAAGAGGGAAAAGAAGCGGACACCTAGTGAAAGGGTTCAAACATGAAAATAATAATTGTGTAATGAATACCGACCTCTAAAGTAAACCAACAATTTAGAAAAAGAAAATAAATCATTTAGTGAACTCGGATAAATACACGTAGATTTATGTAATATTATACAGAGTGAAACCGGATATTAATATAAAAATTTGTGCAAGAATAATTAAGAATGATGCTATGAAAGTCACAATTAATTTCAAAGGACAATCAGAAATTAAATATGTTTGGAAGGATAAGAAGAGATGAAAAGAATATCTAATGTGTCGGCGGATCAATAATGATATTAATAACGGTAATAATTATAAATACGAACATAAGCAGACTTCATATATTAAGATAAATAGAAATAAAATAAAATAGACGTGAAAAGATTCAAAGGTTTTATTTTGCTTTTCAGGCAATTAAATGGATGCCGGACCTTGTTTGTATAAATTATTATTGAATACATTGATATTCAATAGGTGACATAATCCACTTTCGGAAAGAAAATCATCAAGGAGACTTTTGAACCGGGTCGTAGTTTCACTGCAACGGAAGTTCACTGGCAGTCTGTTCCACATGTTTCAGTAGCGAATAAGGAAAAAATTCTGACGTAAGTTTGTGTGGGTTCTTGGAATCGCTAGAATATTCTCCTTATCGCGTAGATTGTGGGATGATATCATAAGATATGAAGGGGTGAATACCGAAGAGTAGGAAATACCGTTAATAAACCGGTAGATAAATACAAGATTTAATTTGATACGTCTGATCCAAAGAGGCTCTAAGTTGAGTTGTTGACATCTTTGGTGATAGTCTTTGTTGTCGGAAAATCAAATCATACTAAATTGATTGGCTTACTTCATATCCAAAAAATCGACATTTTAAGGTAAGGGTTAACGTAACTTTCACGCTATGAAACGTCGAAGTGGGGTCCCGCAGGGTTCAGTAGTAGGATTTCTTCTTTTCTTGGTTTATATGAGCGATCTCTCACAGCACGTATCGTCAAAACTATTACTTTTTGCTGAGAATATGAAACTTTGGAGAGGGGAACTCAACGGAGAAAATAAACCGGCACTTAAGGAGGATCTGACTCGTCTTCAAAGTTTGGCAGATGACAACGGACTTACCTTTAACACTTAAAAGTGTAGAGTAGTCCATCTGAGATATGTTGAAGACTACAGATACAGCTTAGGCAACTCCCCCGTAGAGGTATCCAAAGTTAAAATATATCTGAATGTGTTCGTCTCTACTATTTAATGTCTTATGTTAACTGCAACAAAAATGCATTTGGAGCAAACCTTGCAGTGGTAGCATTGGCCAGTTGGACGAAAGAACATTCCACACAATTCTCAACATTCTTATTCATCCCTATTTAGAGTACAAAAACATGGTATTTCTTCCCTCACTCCAAAAGGATAAGGACACTCTGGAATATATCTAACGACAAGCCAAGAAATCAGTTCGGGGATTCAAATTCAAGCCCTAAGAAGAGCGCATCCATTAACTGGACCTTTATCCATTAGAGTACATGCGTTTTCGAGGTGACTTCCTAATGGCCTACAGCATCCTAAATACCTATTGATATCCACTTGAACACCTACTTAAGCTTAGTCCCAATACAAAACTTAGGCTTAACACCCAGAAATCGGAAACAGAACACAGCATAAGGGACTGTAGACCCACCTTCTACTCCCTAAGAGTAGTCAAGCGCTGTGATTCGCTGCCGACCGAGCTACTCCAAGCGACTTCTCAGGAGTCCTTTATGAGAAAACTTGACATATTCTTAGTGAATAGGATAGTATCTTACTATGATTCACCAATTTTTTTCTCTTTCCTCTTTTATCGATAATATACCTAGGTTCCTGCCTGGAGGTATTGATAATCCGCTGCTACTAGATACGAAAGCCCGTCAAGCGAAAGCTTCTTCTATTCTGTCTAAAGCCATTTGAACCGTTTGAATCATTTGGGCTTGTTAACCCGTTTATCCACTTCATAAGAAAATCTTTCATTAGCATTCGAACTTACGCCTTATCATTTCCCGCATAAAACCAGCCTTCTGCCTGGTTATGCAATGACATCTTGTATTCCGAATCCCTGGGAAAAAACCCAGACCACAAGATATTGAAGATGACACAGGTATTCAGTGTTTGACAACGCTTTTACCAGTAACACCTAATATAATTCGTTTCCACCCAGAGAAATCAAAAGACAGAGTCGAGGAGATCGGAAGAGTGTATTTGACGATTACCAATATATCGGAATTCTCTGATCTAATCTGGCCAGTGATTGCGGTAGATGTTGAGCACGGCGTTACCACACGTGATCTGAGTCCACCAAAACATATGGTCAGCATCCAATGTCGAAAACTTACAGAGCTATTTATTTTGGGGATTTATTTACCGCTACAATACTAAAACCTACAAATATCTACCAAGCTGACAGGAACCAGGGCAGTCGAGTGGCTAGACTACTGCCCATTGGAAATTATCAAAAACTTGGAATGGTAGAGAAACAACAAAAAGCTAGCATAAATAAGTTGTCTAGTTAATACGGGCTTGTCAAAAGATATTGATCATACTATATATATCGACACGGAAGATCGTTCACAATAATTTGGACCATTTTGGTTTTGATTATCATTTACGCCGAATTATAACATATCATAATCTCTTACAAAAATCCGACAGACAAATACTGAGTGCATTCTCCCGTTTCAGTTTTGCAATAGCGGTGTAGAATAATTGCGTATATCTCTAGTTAAGATTGGTTAACCGTTCCGAAGCGGACAATTTGTTCTAGATGACTGTTTCAGGGTCACCATATTGTTATTGGGAATAGGAATTTTCGTATGGGTAATGGAAACTTTTATGTTTTGTGCGTTGCTAAAGCAGTTTTTAAATAAAATTAAATGAATTGGAGCAATTAATTTCGAGAAAAGTCCAGGTATTTGGTGGTTCATGGTTCACGAGGCACTTGTAAGTCTTAGGAATGTATCCAGAACTTCTATCTTTAACTCTCGCCCTACCTATAAGCGGGAGTTAGCATGCAGTGGCTTCTTCCATCAAATTGAGTATGTTTTCGTAATAAGCGTAAGATCGGACAAAAATACAAAAATACAAGCGGCTAGCCCCTGCTTTAAAAAAGACAGTGAGCTTCTGGAAAAGGTTCAGAGAACGGCGACTAAGCTGGTTCCCGCAATAGCGAAGCTTCCGTATGAATCTCGACTGGCCAAGCTGAACCTTTTCCCGTTGTCATATCGCAGAACTAGAGGCGACTTGATTACAGTCTACAAATTGCTTAGTGATAAATTTGCACCTAACATGCCCTCATTTTTCTTGTCTTCCAAAACAGAGAATTTACGAGGACACTCCAAAAAAGTTCATAAGCCGAGAACAAATTACTTGTCAGCTGACTATCGACTTTCCCATCGAATCATCAACGAGTGGAATTCACTACCTCAGCACGTCGTTGAGGCTCCATCCGTCGACTCTTTCAAAAGAAAGTTGGATCAACTGAGAGACCACCATTGCCAGGACTAACATAGGCCATCGAGCCTCCTGTCCTTCCCAAACTGAAACTGAAACTGATACACACGGACAATTGTTCGTGTATACTTGTAGATGTCAGTTCTGTCCATGGATGTTCTATTAGCTACATTTGTAAGTATCCTTTGGACTGCCATAAAAATAGCCATAGCAATAATTAACACGCTACTTACTTTTTAATTCGAATTCAGTGATGAGATATACTGCTTCGTGGAAGTATCGATTCACTGCAAATCTTCTTAAGCAACATTATTATGAAGATAAATAAAAATACGTTCAGTGCCATTTGTTCAGAAATGAAATCTGATTATGAGACCTCAGAATGTATGATTTTCGCCTATTTATGTCCCAATGTTAGGAATGCTGGTAGTATATATCAGCCTCATACTTCTCAAAAGAAATTTAAAGGCTAGTGTACCTGCTTATTTCCATTTATTGGCTTCACCTCAGTATGAAAAGTGCCTCAAGCACTAAAATATTTAGAACATGAGACTCGAAGCATAATCTTACGGACAATGTAGAAGTAGAATAAAACCATGTGAAAGGCTATCTGGATATAATCTACAACGAAGATGGTTCTAGAGGAAAAACGTTTACTTTTCACTTACTCCTAAATGAAATTAAGTTGCTAGACTATTGAAAACAATACGAAAAAATATTGCATTTCCCCCACCACTTGTATCCGTTTTATCAAAATGGCTAAAAAAAGTCCAAAAAGGAAAATAACGAAGCTGTATTCCGAAAAGATGCATTTATCTGTGCATTCAAAAACCAAACTGCTAATAAATCTTTCACATATACTTTATTTTATCTCTACGGTTTTATATTTATAGGTTAGACCAATTATATGATTAAGCATACGCAATTGCTGTCTAATATTTAGAAGTGCAACAAAGTTATGGTTAGTTCTTTCTGTGTTACTGTACTTTAAAGAGTTCGGAAGAAATACTCGAATCTTTTCGAGCTGCGATTTCCACATGTAAGTTTTTCGTGTCATTTTCATTTGTGGCAGCGGACATAGAAAAGGTTAAATCTCTCCTTTCAGAGGATAGGTCACTAATCAACTCCTATGACAAAGTGAATAATTGGATTTCTAGACTAATCTGAATAGGAGGGCTTATCTCCACTGCAGTTGGCTTGTTTCCGGGGAAACCTTCCGGTCGTTGAGTTTCTTCTCAAATATGGCGCAAATGTAAATTCTTCTTCTCACAAACAGGGTTATACTGCCCTAATGTTTGCTGGTCTTTCAGGTTTGTTACTTCATCTCTACAATTTTGTAGGAAACATTGAGGTTGTTGAACTTCTTCTTCATTATGGGGCTCGAATAAATGATGTAAACAGTATCGGTAGGACCGCCTCTCAAATGGCCGCATTTGTAGGTAGGTATTCAAACTTACCTGTAATAATAAATGAGGGAATCATAACGTCGTCACTCTTATTAATAACTATCTGGAAAGAGAAGAAATAGCCGTTTACGTGTCGAAGTCACAATTATTACCTGAACATGTATCTACGATACACAAACTAGTTTTGCAGCTAAATATTTCACCTGTTAAAGTATGTTACATATCTATATGTGAGTAGCTGTTGTTCCATTGATAACCATAATATCCCCGCAGTATACGTATGCGTCTCAGTAAAACAATGCCTAAATCCTTTTATTTTTGCCATTTGACTATAATTTGTCCATTCCATCTTTCGCCCTGTTTATGTATTAAGGTCATCGTACTTCTATTTGTAAATTTTCGGTGTGCAACTGCCAAAAATCGATGTGAGATGGCGATCACTACCTCTTAAAGCTATGTTCTACATATTCGTAAATGAAGTTTCATGCAGTTCACATCTTAGATTTTACATCAAGTGTATCATTAGGTTAACGACAAATTACGTAAAACTTCAGGTTTAGTGGAAAAACACCTCGGATTTACCAAACTAAATGCTCAAAAAAGTAAAAAAACTGTTCATAACAGTTGCCTTCACATAAACCCGAAATTGGTCATTATGTAGGATATATTTGAGTAGACGTGTATGCAAGTCAAAAATATACATCTTTGTCATTTCCTGATTAAGCAACCTGTGTTAACCGATTGTGTGTCCACATCCTAGGATGGTGATGTGATTGATTAGCCAAAAATAAAGACTCAAAAATTTCATTGATAAGGGACTCATAATCTGACAATTTTATCACTCAACTTTCCTTTCTAAAGTAGTTGATCAAATCTATCGGATATCATGTGGAAGACTTCATCATTTATTTATGATCGGGATACTGCCAGTTTATAACTTCAGGTTCAATTTGTACGTACGTGAATGCTCAATGCATTCTAACGTGTTTGCGGTCAAAAGTGATTTTAATTTGGCTTCATATGTTACCCACCACGTATAGATTTACTTTCTTTCCTTTGAGGTCGGACGTTGTATCAGATAGTGCTTTTACAAAACTCAATTTCTTGGGTGAATTAACTACAACTAAAGTTTGTTATACATACTTATTCCATCCAGATATTTTTCGAGTCCGGCACTCCCTTGTCACTATATATAGCATAAGATAATAAAACTAAGTACACTTTCGTATGTAGCCTGTAAGTTCGAGCAGTTAATGTGTATTTGAAAAAGCCTGACGAGTAATGTGAACTGCATACAGTTGTTAAGACACCCCTCAAAATTAAAGAGCCTAGAAAGTAATTTTTAATAAATTAAATTGGTTTGAATGTAAACAGGTTAATTCTTCATCGTATGTCAGTTATGTCGAGGTTATTCGCGAAAAAAAGTCTAAAGGTTACTACAAAATCGGTTTTAATGAATTATCAAAACAATAAACATTATTTTAATAGTGTAATAAAAAGACGAAGATTATCTTATTACACTCGAAATTTATCAAAGGGACTTATTGCTTTAAAGTTTATCGTTTTTATCAGCCGACACAACCCTATTCAATATATGGACACAAAGTCTACCCTATTCAGATTGAAGTTGATGATTTTTCGCCGAGAATACAATAAGTCATAAGATCAACATGAATGTACTCATAATATCATCAAATATCCTTGTATATGACGAAACTATCGGATGAAGTATTCATGTACACTGATCAGTTCATTTTTCACTTATTGATTGAAGTTAATTATTTACTTGCAAATGTTTCAACACAAATAAAAGTTATTGGACCGCTATTAACATGTAAGAGGAAATAATATCATTGATACCCAGATTAGTAAAGCTCCTAAAAACTCATACCACTTGCCTGCTAGTAAAGTGACTTTTTGTTGTTCAAATATTCCTATATAAACAGCTACCAGAACAAAAACGTGTCAAGTTGTCGATAACTGCAAAAAACCATATGAGTAACTTCTCTCTCACTAAAATCTTCACTTTATTGTGGGATGTTTAGTTTTTAATGACATTTTTGGTGTTCCTTCTGTATTTATTGTAGTTTTCAATGATTGAATACTTATCTTTACAAACTTTGGCAGATATTCAAGGTACTCTGATCCAATTAACACTTTCGCATCTAAATTTGTCTTCATTTAGTCTAAAGTTGAACATACTTTACATTCCGTGAACTAGCATAATTTTAAAACAGGTTTCTGTATGTAGTCGGAAAAAATCGTGAAGTACTGAGTGTTTTAGACACACAGACATACTTTACACTTAGTTCATTCAGAAAATCATACTAAAATGTTCCCAGCTACTTTGAAATATTTAAGCGTTACAATGGTCTTAAACAAACAAAAGATTTAGAGCAAGTGATAAGATTTCGTACTGGTGAAAAATAATGTGCATCACTGTTAAGTGTGTCATAATGCGGTTCAGCCATCATATACGTAATCGAAGTGCCCAAATGTGCATAGATGTTTTCATTAAATTTACAGAAAAATATATTAGGTCTGGTTATTTTTTTAAGCTGTAGAATATCTTTCATCCTTTGATCTAATACTCAAATGTCAGTTAACTCACTTTTTACTGTGAGGTAATATATTTATTGAGAAATCCCTTATACATTTTAGGTCTTTCTGCTAATGAACAATGAGATCGAAACCTGTAGTCGCTCAGGAGGAAATTACGAGAAATGTATGTTGACTCATTGGCGTTGCATCCATACTATTCTTGAAGATTTATGCAACAAATATTTCACACCTCATTTAACACATGAACCATTATCCTTAAAACTTCATTTATTGGCCTGTTGTATACGCCAAGCCGGAGAGTATTACGACAAAGAGCCGAAAATTACAGATATTCAAGATCGTGCTTCTTCACCATTGAAACAACTAATTAGAAAATTCTTAGTCGGTACAGAGCCCTATGGTTTGCCGTTAGGTAAGTGGTGTGAAATAGTGCATCCATAACTTATCAAATAGGTCAAGAGCAATTCTTACGACAGTCCTTGACTTCGTTCCCCCACCATCAATCGACCCTATGGAGACATATTGTCCAACAAATATCCCCACTAGATTTAGGCCGTATGCCAACAGCGTTCTCTGTTCTTACAAAAACAATCAACGGTACTATTATATACAATGCTCGTCCTCTTGAACTGTGCGCAACATGTGGAGATGGTCCTGAACTAGGAAAACCAGGAACGTTGAAAGCATGTCAACAATGCAAAATTACTTCTTACTGTTCAGTCTCTTGTCAACGTTTACACTGGTTTACACATAAGAAATTTTGTTCAGTCATTAAAAGTAAGTACTTATTACACAACTGATATTTATCTATTCCTCATCTAAATAAATTTCGATGTTTTCATACGAACAGATGCTGTCACATAGAATGTACCTTCATTAGAAGATATTTCAGTTCACAGTACTTAATATGCGTTTAGTTAGATTTTGGCGGAAGCTAACAGTGGAAGTTATTATATGTAAAGCATTATAGAAATTAATCCGAAGTCACTAACCGATAAATGCTAATGGATACTCCCCATTGTTCGCTAGAGATACTGAGTAATAAGTGATAGTAAATTTCTCTTTTTTCATTGTTGGTCGACGTTACTCTCAATATTTTCAAGTATTCAATAGTAAGATCTGTTATACGAGGTGTTAATGAGCCTATTCCATCGATGCGAATGTTAGCACATTTTTGACGGAATGTTTATAACTTGTACTAACAGTACGATGGGATATTTTTGATCTGTGTGGGTTTATCATATTAATTCTTATACAGCAACAATATTCTTGTTCATACCCATTCTCAATTTGCGTACCGTTCAAATGATACACTAACACGTCAGCATAAATTATTATTTACTTTTACAGAACATAAAAAGGAACTCGAATTGGCCAAGTGAAGCATAAATGACATTGCAATTTGTGATACTCAAACTAACTTTTATTCCACTTTAATGAAGATTTGTTGTCAATATTTAATTTAGAATAATTTATTATTAATAAAGTTTCTAATCAAATAAATAGTCTATACATGAAATCGATGTGCTTTCAGCGATCATAAAATTGCATGCAAAAACAACACATGCACTTTCGAAATAAATCATTTCAAGCTGGTGCACACTGACTTCATTATAATCACAGTTCATGGGACTGATTTGAGGACATAGCGTTGAGATTAACAGTCGTGCTAACTCATCAGATAGTGGTTTGTTCTTCTTGCCGAAATCACTTCGTATACTTCTTTGGGAGTCTACAAAAATAGTTAAAGTCAAAAAAGGAAGTGTTTTTTTTTAATTTCAAAGAAAATTATAATTAGAACAATCACAGTCACTAACAAGAAATATAGTATATAAATTTAGGAAATTTTAAATTACTCATCCGTTAGGCATTTCCTCAAACTATATTGAAAAGCCTGTTGTAAAATAGTAAGCTGGAACTTGTATCTAGAGTATAATTTGATCTCTGTTGGTCTATTGTGTTCCTTGTAACGTTTAAAATGTTGTTCCGATGAGCTTACAATTATCGGAAGAGATTCTCTTAGCCGGGATTTTGAGCTTTAAGATTCTTTAGTTCATCTGAATTACATGTTCGTGTCTAGAATGGGCGATATCTATGTTAAGTTTAATGCTGCTTACCTACAAATCTATCACGACTGTATTATTTTTCTTATTACCAATTAGGCTTATCTTAAAACAGGTTTATTATGCGAATATTGGACCTGGATAAAGATGACACAAACGATTAGCTACTTAGTACTGAAAATCAGCCGTAGGCTGACAATCTCGAAATTTCTGCTGAATTTCCCAGATAAGCAAACTCTACATAATGGCGAACTCTTTAGATGACTGCACTTTAAAATGAGAGCGGATCCTACTGACCATAGCTTTTAATGAACTAAATGTTATGCAGTAACTTAGTAATGTCCAAACATTGCTACAACTTGTATATTGAACTGTTTGTCTTGGAAACAATATCTACGAATAAAATGTAAGAAATTCAACACTTAAAATCAAGTGCTTACTTCTTATAATCTGGTCCATATTCCACATCATCACGGTTTGTGAACGATCGTGCTTCTTTCCCGTAACTCTGCATTTTTTTCCAGTTCAGCAGCTTCCGCTCAGTTGACTCAATCTCTTTCAATCTGGCCTCGATTTCGCGTTTCCGAGTTAACCGATCAGAAGCGAAGTCAGAGGAATATGCATTTACTGTTTCTAAAATACCGATATAAAATGATTTAAAAAGTACATTAATTAGATAAAGAGGAAAAAGTAGTGTTTTATTTTGAAACTCAATGTTCTACCTGTTTCGAAAGTCTTATAAGTGGATGAACTGGGGTATTGGGAAGTTGGTGTTGGTTCTGGTGTCACACGTTCTAAAACTGACGACAATGAGCAGTTACCTTGTGAGAACATTGAGGATGATCTACTAGAATGTTCTTCAGGGGAACGTGATTCATTTCTTGCCCATTCACAGGATGATGTAATGTTAGGATAACTTTTGTTACTTCGCATCTTCGTCTGAACCTAAACAAAACAGACAAATGAGATTTTGATATCATAAAGTATTTCAAGCAGTCGTATATAATATTGTTTTTTTCGGTTTGATTTATCTTAGTAAGCTAATTGTTGTAAGGTCGAGAATAAAACAATGTAGATTCTAACGTAAAATTCCTGCTTTTGGTCCTATTTGAGTGATCGACGTATGTTTGATAGTAGAGCTACATAAGTCCAGTAACAATATATCAGATATGCAGCAATATACAATGTTAGACCCTAAATTAAAACCCCTTAAAGAGTATTTCGGAGAGAAACTACCGTTGATATTTCAAATCTCAAGCAAACCGACATATACTTTACTGGACTGCACTAGTGAAAACAGTTATCATCATATCCTAATAGGTCAGTCGTTATATTGGTTAGACGAAATCCAAAACTGTAGGGAGCTAACATGGACAATCTAATAGGTAAAATCAAGAGAATGCTGTTTCAAGAAAGATAGTCGGAACTACAAGACATGGATATGCTTGAATAGATAACTGAACTGGGAAACGCCATCTACCCTGAAAATAAGTTTTAGTTTGATTACCAGAGACATTTCTGGAGTTTGGAAATATAGGCCGTTTGTTTCTATAGAAACAAATACAACCTACCACACAATCAGAGAACGTACATATAAGTTTATTGATAAAGCCAATATAAAATCAAATAATAAACAGTTTAGGGATTGATAATAACGGAACTGACAACAAGTTTGGTAAGAAGTCCACAATAAGTAACAGTTATGTAATAAACAATTCGAACATGCAATTAAGGGACTGATAAAGTTTTTGATAAGTCCAACAATAATATCAGGTGTGTAATCATAAAGAGAATATTAAGACTAAGTAAAAACAACAGTAGAAGTATTGTTTAACAAGTCATTTGTAACTCACTTAGATATTGGTAATTATGACGGCTGAGGTGAGGAGTGCGATTGTAAAAATTTCATGGAGGCACAGACTAGGCTTATTAAAGTAGATACTGATGGCTCTTGCTGTATGGAAAATACATGCGTAAACTAAGTGGTATATTTGGTGGGACCCAGTGGATAGTTTGAAACGGGTTGTTTTGGCTATTTGATGTCCTGCATCCATCAAATGAGCCTGTATAGAGCTATCAATCAATCATACTTGTCCTTTACCTACCCAGGTGGGATGATATTCCAAAACAGGGTGACAGACTTGCCAAATCGTGAGCCCGATGTATCCGGCTCCACGTGAGCAGTTGAAATGGCAAACGCATATAGATGAAGGATATTGGAGAAGTTTGCCCTTATTTTCTGTGCTAATACTCGGTCGGTTGTAAAATATGGCGTACAATTTTACCACATCGAATGTCCTTTGTAAGGATTTTCTTACTCGTTGTATTACTAATTTAATTATAGTATCGTTTGAGAATTACAGCTTTAAAAATACTGGCTTTTCAGGAACTAGTTTTTTCTTTGTTCTAACTTGGGTCATGTGCTTCTCAAAAGATTTTAACGGATAAGCACTCACGCTCAGTAATTTGCGGATAGTACGTAACTCTTCTTTAATTGTATCACTGGAGCAAATAATTTTCACACAATGTGTTAAACTCTCGACTAGGTTTCGTTTGCACGAGTTACGGGACTATAAACATGGATAATACTGAGCAACTGATGTTGAATTTTGATATATACTTTTCTTTAACGTCCTTCTAGTATAAATGTGATGGATGGATGGATGCAGTTAAATATTTTAAGTAGACTAACCTTGCCCTATAATGGTGTTGTCTATGCAGCGGCAATAAAATAGTAGCTGGGAAATTTCGCATGAGTGGGGATTTTCACCTTACCGAAATGCCATGAGCAGGGACTCTTAATGAGTATTTGCAGTACAACGAAAGGCTTAACCAAGAGAAGGTGAATGTGAAATTTGTAAATCAATTTATTGTAATCAACCTTTGAGTTCGGCCTAATGAGCGGACGCTGAAATGTGAGGCATTAATTGGAAGCTTCACAACACTTTCAAGATCCTCATCCTGTGATAAAAATATTCTAGATCATCTCGGAATATGTGGCATGAGGTCCTTCAGAACTTTTAATAATGTTTAAATTATTAACTTAGACTGAATAACCTTCATGATCTCTCAATGATACATACCATAGAATCTGGTGATGAACGGAACTGATTGGACAGAGAACTGCTCGATGGATAATCTGATTTCAAACGACGATCCATAAAAATATCCGGACTTTTCGTGTAATGTGATTGTCTAAACGCGTCTGAAAGATGACGCTCAGAGTGGCTCGTTGGGCTATATACTGGTTGATCTATTTCAAAAGCAATATATGGAAATAATCGTTTCATAGTAACAAAATCAATTATGATCACTTAGCAGTATTGAATACAATAGTACGTTTCACTAGATGAGTTACTGACCAAACACATTTACTTTGAATAAATTCTTTTCCCTTACAACTACTAAATGGTCAGAAATTATGAGACTTTGATTTCCTACAAAATCTTACTAGGTCATAGAAGTATACATCAATCATCATCATAAGACTGGACACCAACTGGAATAAAAGCTGTATGTAACTGAGATTTAAGGCTAACTGGACTTACTTCAATACAAGGTAACAACTTATAAAAAGGCGAATACATTAAATTGGTTCGTAGACTATGAAAAGTTGACTAACATGAGATTTTAAAGTTTATCTAGAATTTAAACTGTAAGGAAATCTTGGACTATTCGTACTACGACCTGTCCAACCTACTTTTCCACCGGTGTCAGTTTTGAACGGTATCAAACGTAATTGTAACTAATCACCATTCATATATTACACGTGGCCAGATTGTATTAAACGAATCATCTAATGGAATACGCAGATTTTTGTACAACGAGTCTGTTACTTAAACCTATTTCTGTATATTATTGCAATGTAGCTAATACAATTTAAACGGGATCCATTTCTTTGTTGATAAACTACACAAATTACTAGGTCGAAATCCCGTAAATGCATGATTTCATAAGTACTTTATTTAAAGTAAACATGGTCAGCGTAAGTGAATACTTGTTTGGAACGATTGCTAGGGTTTCAATTGATGCTGAAATAAAGCCTTTCCTCAAAACTGGCTGTTTTTTGAAGTTGTACAAGGAATCGAACCTTACTTTGACATATTTATGAAACATATTATAGTTGTATGATATACCTGATAGGCATAATAACGAAGAATTACAATTCGCCATTACCCTTAAGTAGAATATACAAAATCTGTAACTATTACACATTCATATATAATTCAGAAAATTTAAAAAAGCAAAATGCCCTATATTCAGACTATTTTACGATACACATTCTCTCCTCGCAAAACATAACTCATTGTTCCCATTTTAAATTACTTAAGTGTAAAATAGTCGAGATATAATTCTAGAAATAGTCAACTAAAATAATTAAATAAAACTGTATTGATCAGAGACAATTTCTAAATGGAAACACAAAATTCGTAAACTTCACCGGTAAAAATC